ATATATATACACCTGCAATTTTATTTTATTTATTTATTTATTTATTTATTTATTTATTTTTTTTTTAAAAGATGACCGGTAAGGGGTCATTTTATTTATTTATTTATTTATTTTTTATTTTATTTTTTTTTTAAAGATGACCGGTAAGGGGATCTCAACCCTTGACTTGGTGTTGTCAGCACCACGCTCAGCCAGTGAGCTAACCGGCCATCCCTATATAGGATCCGAACCCGGGGCCTTGGTGTTATCAGCACCGCACTCTACCGAGTGAGCCACGGGCCGGCCCCTACACCTGCAATTTTAGAATTTAGAGAATGACGCATCATGAGGGCATTAAACTGAGTTTTATCTTCAGTGGGAAGCTGAATGAAACAGCTCACTGTGTGGCTTAAGGATCTAAGTACGTTATTTTTAAAGGAAAAGGGAGGAGACAGTCAAATGCTGCATGCCTGGCTGTGTGAGTCTGGTCTGAACACGGGTATGAGACTTATCTGTGCTCGGCCAGCAAACAGAAGGAAGTTCCAAGCCTGCCCTGACAAAACCACCACGAGACTGGGCTCTGCAGCCTTCACAGAGGCTCCAAGGTGGCACCTCTCGAGGTGTGAAGCCTTCCAAGGTGGCACCTCTCGAGGCTGATGTGCAGAGGGCAGCAATCAGCCTCCCGATTTGAACAGACTGTGAGGGCCAGGCCTCCTCCACAACAGGACCACCCACCGCTCCACCCTGCAGCTCCACCCCACAGCACTGCCTACATGCTCCCTGTGAGCCACGGCCACCAACCGAGTGCCCACATACCCACAGCATGTGCAATACACCTGTGTGTGCACTTATGGATGAAATTTATTTTAAACTCTTCTTCCTGATTATAAAAAGAAATGCTAGTATGACCGTTTTAGAGGGCAAGTTTAGAATATCTATCAAAACTCAAAAACCTGCTCCAGCAATTCTGTTCTGAGGATCTATGCACGAGGGCATTAAACATGGCACAGTTTGTAACAACCACCAGAAATAACCGAAGTAGCCATCAAAAGAAGACTATTTAAATACAGTATGATTTGGCCACATAGTCAATAAATGTACTCACTGATTCTGTATAGTTACACTTCTTCTTTTTTTTTTTTTTTGTCTTTTTGTCTTTTTTCGTGACCGGCAACGGATCGCAACCCTCAGTGTCGCGCCCGTACCAGACCGGGACCGGCAACGGGATCACAACCCTCGGTGTTGCGTCCGCACCTCGCTCATCCAGTGAGTGGCCGGTCTGTATGTGGGATCCGAACCCTTGGCGGGAGGGCCGCCGCGCTCCCAAGCGGCGCACTGTAGCAGTGCGCCACCGCGCCGGCCCTACACTTCTATTTTTTTAATTTAAAAGAATAGAAAAAGAAACGAGAAGGAACTACACTACATGCATCAGTGGTTACCACAGGACACTCGCAGGCTGTAGAAGTAGCACAGAAAGCCCCTCCCTGCCCACCTGACTGCCCCGGAGGCAGGCGACAGCACGCTGATACCTCAGGAAAAGCCTCTTGTCCCTGCACAGCAGTCTACCTGCACCTGTGCTTTTTAAAAAACACAAATGGGATATTATATGCAAGGCCTTCATGTTACTTCTCCACCATCAGGTATCTTGTGTCCACCTCTTCTAGTCTGCACACGAGGCTGTACGGCACAGATGAGAGGTGCAGACATGCATCTCACCCCATGGACATTCAGGCCTTCCACTCACATGTGTGAATGTACATATAATCATGTGTACACATGTAAACATATACACGTGCCTTCAAAAACCAAAAAAAATTGGGATTACGTTCTATATATAGGTACACTTTTAATTTTAAATCATGAGTTTTATCACCACCTCTTTAAATAATTTGCAAACAAGCGCCTCTAGTGATCACTTGATATTCCGCCACACAAATGTATTATCATTTAGTGTCCCTGTGATTGGACTGTTCGATTGTTTCCAATTTTTATTACCACAGAAGCACCATGATGAACAACAGTCTTAGACAAATATTGGTGCAGATCTTGTTTCTAAGGCATATTTTAAATTCAACCACGAAGTCCACAGGAAGACTAAAAAGATTACTTAAATGTTTGCTATTACAGTTCTTTTTGCTCAAACTGGTGTCTTCCTGAAACAAATGAAAAATGAGTGTCTCAAATCCTAAAGGGCTATAAACAATTTTGGGAAGTACTTCTAGCCTGTTCCCACTAACAGAGCAAACAAGCAATCTACGAAAACAAGACAGTGATGGGGAATGTCACATAGTTTATGACAAAAAACTTACAGTAAGACAAGGAAATGAAAAAGCCAACGTCCGGGGCCGGCCCGTGGCTCACTCGGGAGAGTGCGGTGCTGATAACACCAAGGCCACGGGTTCGGATCCCACATAGGGATGGCTGGTTCGCTCACTGGCTGAGCGTGGTGCTGACAACACCAAGTCAAGGGTTAAGATCCCCTTACCGGTCGTCTTTAAAAAAAAAAAAAAAAAAAAAAAAGCCAACGTCCAACCTATTGAAGGGTGTATATATATATCTATATATATATATATCTATATCTATATATATAAAAAAAAACCCAGCAAATTCATAGCCAGTAATGAAATTCTGCAAACACTTCCTTTACGACTAAGAACAGGACAAAGTTGCCAGCAACCTCCACTCTCACCTGACACTGGGAGATCCCAGCCCGCACAGGATGCCAGAAAGAGTGGGAAGGGCTGAGGAGGGAGGAGGAGACACAGAACTGTCACGCGTGGAGAGCCTGACTGCACACATGCATTGTAAGGGTGAATGACAGACAGCAAAGCTGCTGGACACAAACTGCACCTGTTTCAAGCAGCAACAGCTTAAAAACATGACGTTATTTTGGAATATGTGAAAAAATATATAGGATTGGCTGGTTAGAGCATGGTGTTATAACACCAAGGGTTCAGACCCCCATACTGGCCAGCCACCAAAAAAATATATACATATATATACATATATATGTACGTATGTATATAAAATGCCTAGGAATGACCTAATGTTATTGGTGGACGAGGTCCTCGTGCAGAAAAACCCTCCTGGGAGAAATTAGAGCACACTGAAACAAGTGCAGCAGTGCCTCACCAGGCGTAGAGGCAAGAGCCCTGTGAGGTGTCGGTGAAACCCTGACAACACCTGCTAGCTCTGGGGCAGCCGGAAGAGTATAGGGCCGAGGACAGTCAGCTCCTGCAGAGCAGCAACATGGGCTGTAACTCATCAGGTACAAAGAACAGCAATAATTACAGTGATTAAGAGAGCACAGTATCGGTCCTGGTTAGGGAAACATGGCCAAGGGAATAGAGTGGAGTCCACAAACACACCCATGATTCATGAAGACGACTGATGACAGATGCTTCACAGATTAAAAAGAAGGGTTTTTTTCAATAAATGGTGCTAAGACGACTGATAATTCACACGGTTAAAAAAAATTAAACAGAAAGGGCTTTCAGGGTAAACCTAATTCCTCCACAAGATGCCACTCAACTCAGAGACGTGACTGAAGGGCAGAGCACCAGTTCCTGCCATCTCACGGGATGAGGGGGGCCTGAAAAAGTGCCAGGCAAGGTGAGGCCCCAGCAAGAAAGGCTGATGGCACTGGGGTGGAAGGACCCCTCCCCGGTTCCTAGCAGAAGGCCACTGCTGGGAGCTAGGGGCCCAGCAGACACACCAGCTCTCACACAGGCTGCAGTGACTAAGTGAGAGACACAGGGTTGCTGGCGTGCAGCCACTTTCCCCTCGAGATGGCTGCAAAGGTTTTAAGGTGCTTGGGGCAGGGCACCCACACATTTAAACTGCATGAGGCAGGAGCCAAACAAACCAAATACTTCTGAAGGTCAGGCCGCATCTTCCACCGTCTTTCGGGGCCAAGGAGACAAAGATTTAAGGTGGGCGGTCATCTTAAAAAGAGCTCACTAGGCTTTCAAGTGGAAACCCCAGAGGACTACCTACTAGGAAAGGGGAGGAACGAGAACAGACAGTCTCCTAAAATGCAGTTCAGATCCAGCCCTGCTGCTCACTGCAGAGCTGGAGGAGGACAGCCCAGCACCCTATTTCCCCACTGGAGGAAGGGAAGCTCTCTCTGGTGAAGAGGCCCTCTGGAGGCTCTGGCTTCTTGATGAGCAGCACAAAACAAACACTCCCCATACCTGTGGAGAGGAAAGACATTCCAAAGAGAAAGCAGACAACATCTGCAGACATACAGACAGGACACGGGTATGAAGACAGGACATGAGGACCTGAAAGTGACCACGACTATAACCCACTATCAACTGTCCAGGAACAACAAGTGACAGGACCCTCAGGTAAGGACATTAGAATGTCATTATGACTGTACCCTGTATGTTTAAAGAGTTAAATGAAAACATAGGAAACAAAAATGACAAATTAAACTTCTAGCAATGAAAACTACAGTGTTTGAGATGAACAACATTCTAGATGAGAACAGCTGCAGATCAGACTCTGCAGAACTAGGGACTGATGACTCTGAAGATGTAGCAATAGAAACTATCCAGAATGAAACAGAAAAAAGATGGAGATACAATGAGCCAAACCTCAATGAAACTGTGGACAACTTTAAGATGATTACAGTGTAACTGGAGTCCCTAAAGGGGAGGGAACCACTAAAAAAACTGCATGGCTATACCAGGAGGAGTTCTCAAAACAGTCTCCAAACATCTCTGTCTTCTCATCTTTAGAAACTGAAGTCACCTGTGCTGCAGTGGTCAGAACTGGTGTTACACCTGTATGTCCCCAACCCAGTGCATGTAAGTCCCACTTCTAGTTATCAGCCCTGACACCTGGGCAGCCAAGAACAAGCCCCAGACACATGACAGATGGCCTTGTTCTCAAGCAGGGCTCTGAACAACCACAGCTGACACTCAGTACATCCAGAATGCACCAACATCAGGCAAGTCCAAGACAGGCTCACACCATTCCCCACGCACTTGATTCTTCCTGAGCCACCATATCTTTACCTTATAAAACACATCAGGCACGTACTGCTCGCTGCTGGACTCCTTGGCATAGCCGAGCTCAGGGGCATCCTTGCAGGGCAGCAGGCACTCGTCACGCACCAGAGCCATGCACTGATTGGATACCTGGTACCCTTCAAAGTGGACCTGGTTGTCGGGACCACCTGCAAGAGAGAGACCTTCAAAGAGAATCTACCCAAGAACATTCAAAACTGGTCCTTACCTGTTACTCTTCACTTTTAACCCACAGAAGAAACAAACCCTCAAGGGTTTGTCTTGGGTACGAATTCAAAGATGATGAGTGGTCAACTGACGGGTGAGCACGAGGCCTGGACACAGTATCCAGACAGGCTGCAGTTGCTCATCGCCACTCAGGTGCCACTAGTGACATGTTCTCCAACACCCACCCCAAAGCCATGCTCAGTGGCATCAAGCACCCAGGCCATTGGTTCTTAATAACACCAGGGGCATAAATGACAGAGCCCTACGTACCAGCCAGCTTTTGTTCCTGAGCGAATGTGGGGTGGGACAGGTTCATCTGGAGGCAGGGAGTGGATGGGAGGAGAGCAAAACAGGAACTATTTTTAGTAAAAACAGCACTGATCATTGCACTGTGCAGAACGGAAGTCTCTGCCTTAGAGAAGCTACACAGCCTGCATACGCAGTCAACACCACTAGGCACTACCCTCACACCGTGAGGCTGTGGGCCACCAGGGCTGTGGTAACGGGTCTCCCCATGGCCCCGCATCTTCATGCACCTGCCTCAGCCTCCACACTATTCAATTCTGACCTCTCTCCTAAATTCCACTCCAGAAAAGCCTCCAGAGTGACTTGAAGGTAAGGACACGGGCGGCATCAACAGCAACCGAGAGGGATCAATGTGATGAAGTCACACCAGGCCCTAAAGGTGAGGATGGGTAATGCCACACAAGGCGGGCCTGCGCTGAGAAAGGACTGGGCTTGAGGTGGGCATCTGCTGCCACAGATATGAGCTTCTAGAATTGGGGCCACCCTCTGACAACTCCAACATCTGTTATTTCTTATGGCTTTAGAGAATAAAAAACTATGTCTCTATTTCAGTTTGTTTAACCAAAACAGAATAATTTACTATTAGGGAGCAGAAATTTAGTCCATCTGGCTTTCAACCATGAATGTGATGAAGTCACACCAGGCCCTAAAGGTGAGGATGGGTAATGCCACACAAGGCGGGCCTGCGCTGAGAAAGGACTGGGCTTGAGGTGGGCATCTGCTGCCACAGATATGAGCTTCTAGAATTGGGGCCACCCTCTGACAACTCCAACATCTGTTATTTCTTATGGCTTTAGAGAATAAAAAACTATGTCTCTATTTCAGTTTGTTTGACCAAAACAGAATAATTTACTATTAGGGAGCAGAAATTTAGTCCATCTGGCTTTCAACCATGTATCAGAAACCAGACCTCAGGGCCAAGCAATCAGAGAAGGTGAAGGACGGAGCAGAGCCAGCCTCCTAGAGGACAAACCTGGGCCTCCTGTCTGCTTGTCTTTGCACACAGGCTGCTTCAAAATGCCCAGTCAGATGGGCTCCAAAGGCACCAGCCACTAAATCTAGTGTTTTCACTCTGGCCCCAACTCAAATGCGGCAAATGCCCACTAATACCTCAGCAGCAAACACAGGCACACACCTCTCCAGTGTGTCCAGTGGGATAAACACCACACCACAAATGAGCATGCCGGTTTAGAAGGAGTGAAGGTGACAGTTGGATGGAGTGTGGGGGAGTCACCATGTGTACATTTGCTTACTGTTTCTCTGTGGGCATTGAACACCTGCACTGGTTTTTAGATTGATCATTAAAGTGTGATAGATCATTAGGGAAAGAAAAATATGACTTTGAGAACAAGAGAAAAAATGGAAAGCAATATTTGTACGATTGGAGGTTGTCAAAAAAAAAAAAAAGTAAACAGTCCATATGGATAGCGTCCAAAGGTAAATTCACTGAGATGAACCAAGAACTCCCCTTCCATGTGGATCGGCAAGAACTGCATGTCCTGATGGGTTGACTTAATCTTGCCAAAACCTCTTGCTGGCCAAGACCCAGAGGAGGCTGGACTAATTCACTGTCACTCCCTCCAAAATCAGGAAATCCACACGCAGGTAGACCGCTGGGCCGAGAAAGGGGCAGTGACAAAGAACTTAGCTGTTGTTGAATCTGAGATGCTTTCTTGAGATCCTCAGAAAGCAACCTGCTCAGCCATGAGCTGAGTGTGTTCCAGACAAGCACACAAGACGATGACACCAGGGTGTGCAGCTTAAACGTGGGCTTTGCAATGCACTGTCCTGCTGCAAGACTCCTTCACGTTCGCTCGAGCAAACTACCACACACAGTCACTGCTCTTTCCCTCTGAGGGTCTCAAGCCAGAGGAGTTCTTTGTATAATTAAAGGGGGCAGGTGGAGAATCCAAAGACATGGAGGCAAGGGGGTGAGGCCCCCGCATCCAAGTAGCATTTAAGCTCTGCCCAAAAAAGCTCCTCGTACCCCTTGCCATCTGCAAACACGCAGTCCTGCACAATCCTGTCTAATAAGGCACTCCCCACATGCCATGCCATGAGACCCTGATGCAGGGAAAGAGCACACTTTCCTTGGAGGTAGGAAACCTGCATCTGAGCTATGATGATTAGAAACACAGATTCAGTTCTGCAATGCTGTGGATAACCACTCTTCTCAGTCAGGGGCCCTTCTCGAGAGGGAAGTGGTGACAACTCAGCACAGACATGAAAGGACCCCGACTGCAGATCTTATTATAAATCAGGTGATTTACTGTCTCACAGTTCTAAAACCTTAAACTGTCAATCTTGAAGGCAAAAATTCCACAGATGATCTATCTATATATGATTCCCCAACTCTCAACAAACAAGAGGTATGACTCCATAATCAAAAGTTGCATCCCCCAATCTAGAAACTATTTATAATTCTAAAATTGTGCCAGTTCCTTTGGCCCATGGAATAATCTCCCCATAGAAACAGTAATTAAAAGGGGTAGGTTACCATGGGAGCCCAGAGAAGCTTAAACAGCAGTTGTCAGGGAGGGCAGCAGTTCTGGAAATCTCTGAAGGTGTTTCGGTTGACGGGAGAACTGCCAGCTTCCAGGCTGGAACCAGGCACAAGGAGTCTGCACGACAAAGAGCCGCTCCTTTCCCACATTTCCTTGAGTGTTACCTACACTCTCACCTAAGCATGACCCCGATTTATAACGGTCTAAGACAAGAACCAATTCTATCATATAAGTAACCACAAGAACATACAAGCACAGACTCAATGCACGTTGAATTCCCTAGGATTGCATGCTCAGTAAGTTGAGGGAAGGGTATACTCTTCTGCCCAGAGCGTCTCAGGAAGCCATGTCCTGGGCAGAGCCCCTCACCCACGCGTCAGCACTGACTCCTTCCCCATGCCGTCCTCATCATATGTCAGCCCAAGCACCACTGGACTGGACTGTACAACTTCACTACACATTTCTTCCTGTTATTTCTCCTTTGTAGTACAGTTAGGATATTCCTCTGCTTTCCTTTGTAGGATTACGTGTAAGCAGGCTCTGTGATCTATGAATCTTACTTCTGCAAAGGAAAGGGGTGTCACAAGATGTTCTAAAAAAAAGGGCGCTGAGTCTGATAGGTTTGAGAACTACCAGCCTAAACTACTATACTCAGAACATCAGCCTAAATGTAGGCAGGGGTGGGGGTGAGGAAGGTCATGTGATGCCAGCAAAAGAAAGCTAATACTTTCCTCCCCTTCTTCAAACACAGAATCCAGCGCCCCTGCTTTAAGGTCTCAGCCGTTCTCCAGCTGTCTGAGTCCTCCATTGTGACACCTCCCCTTGCCCAGGCTGCCCTGCTAAAGGTGTCTATGATGCAGAATGACCTATCTCTCCTTCAATCCTAGTAAAACTTCCATCTATTCCCTTAAACATCTGACCTGAGCAACAATTCAGGAAAATAAATCTGATTCAATTAAATCACTTGTGAAAAAGTTAACAATGTAATTAACGTGGGACATGTGCACTCCCTGCTTAAGAAGAAACTCATGTCAAAAAGAAGGCACCTGTCAATCTAAATCGATTTCAAATCAAGGGACTGCAAGCTTGGTAACATAGAGCAAAGCTTAAAAATCCTGGTGGTGCACAAGCTTTTGTCACCATCGTCCCGATGGCAGTGGTAACAGGCATGATCCACTTATTTACCTATCGGGCTGTTTGTAAACTGGTGCTTGTTAAATTGGGGGTTCTTCTACAGAACTGGGAGACGGAGATTACTAAGAATGAACTGGATTATCATCTCTTTGAGGGTAGAAACCAGTTCTTTACAGGATTAAGGTTACTGCTTACTTTAAAAAACTGATTAAACAGATTACGTTTTTATGAGTTTGTTCTCCAATTTTTGAATCCCTGCTCCTTTTACATTATACAGTCCTATGTCTGGCTTTTTTCTGAAACAGCATCTCAAGTATGTTATAAAAGATTTGGTGACATGTTTTTATAAGCTACAACCTTTTATTATTATATATTTATGCTGAAATTCTGCTTTTATTATTATTATGTTTTTTTTGGCAGCTGGCCGGTACAAGGATCTGAACCCTTGACCTTGGTGTTACAAGGCCATACTCTGAACAACTGAGCCAACCAGCCAGCCCTATTATTATATATTTATGATGTACACTACATATAATAAAAATCAACACACACACTCATACACACACACATACACACACAGGCACTCCCAAAAAAGTTTTACAGAAATGGTTTCTTAAAATGACAGTCCATTCATAATGTCAAAAGCAAACAAGTTATGGAAACATTAAACCCTCTTCTCTTACACAGAGAGACAAGAGAGTAATCATTGGTTCCTGGAAAAGGGCAAAGGCTGCCCCAAGCTCAAGCCCCTTGGACTTGCAAGGAAAGCACTGGCTGGAGGAGAGTAAGGCTGAGATCTTGACTCTGTCGTTAGTTTTGTGAATAAAAACAAGATGAGGAATCCATGTTCACCAGTCCATTAAGAAAATCTATTGTAACTAAGTTCATGATGAAAAGCTATCAAAAAGAGGCACAACTATATCAACAAGGTAGTAACATCTACAATACAACTCTGTCGCTTTTATACCTGTAGCCACTGCAGTAACAAACTTGGATCCAAAATGTCCATCTGGAGAGAGTCGACATATGTTGGGATGCTTATTTTGGAAGTCTCCTGCGGTGATGCATTCCTCTGAACTCAGGAAGTAGGTGTCCTAGAGGAAGAGAAGCAGCACATCAAACTTCACAGCACCAGGTCAAAATGTGCTCCTATTCCTTCTTTAGAAAATAGTGAGAACTCAGGGCTGGCCCGTGGCTCACTCGGGAGTGCGGTGCTGATAACACCAAGGCCGTGGGTTTGGATCCCATATAGGGATGGCAGGTTAGCTCACTTGGGAGAGCGTGGTGCTGATAACACCAAGGCCACGGGTTTGGATCCTATATAGGGCTGGCCTGTGGCTCACTCGGGAGAGTGTGGTGCTGATAACACCAAGGCCACGGGTTTGGATCCTATATAGGGATGGCCTGTGGCTCACTCGGGAGAGCGTGGTGCTGACAACACCAAGTCAAGGGTTAAGATCCCCTTACCGGTAAAAGAAAATAGTGAGAACTCAACTATAACATCCCCAAACCCATGGTGAACCCAATACCTGTCAGTCCTGGCCACTCTGACTTCATCTAAAACCATCCACAACTCATAAGACCAGAAGAACCAGGCAATCCACCCCACAGGCTGACCTGGTTTGTAAAGGTAAGGTGGGTTTTGCTCCATGAGACAGAAACCACAGACATAGTCTGAATTTATCAAGACTGTCTTGAAAAATAATGTGGTCGGAAGGCTAGAACGAGCTGGGCAAGGAGACCCCAAGAGTGTGAGTCAGCACTGCCAGTCACCCGGTTGCAGGGCTAAGCAGACTCATGTCTCCACCTCACCTTATTTCGGCTGTATCGAACTGTACCCTTTCGGGTATCTTCTGAGACGAGATCTGTGAATATCCAGCCGACCTTAATAAAAAAGGAAAGTATCTTTTAAATACCTCCCTAAAACAAACGACTAACTTCTTCTGGCTTCTTCCCAGGGAGTGTAAGAAGAATGTACTCAGCCCACGACTCCTGCTTGTGAGCCACGGTAATTGAAATGAATCGGTCCTCAAGTCAGATGACCGGCCACACCAGGGCTTTCAAACTCTGCTGAGTACAAACTGGCCACCCTCCCTCTCCTGCTGCTCAATTAGAGATGAGGGTAAATGAACCAAGCTCATTTATCCATAAAAAAAGGTTTTACTCAGCACCAACTCTGTGCCCAGCACTGAATGCAAGGGACGCAGTGGCAAATGAGATCAAGAGAAAGTAAGTAAAAAGTGAACTTACAGTCCAAAGATAAAAAAAAAAAAAAAAAAAGGATCCCTGGAGAGAGGCACTTAGAATAAAAGTGGGTACTCTAATGGAGACTTCATGCAGCTTCTCATTGGAGCTGCAGGGCAGGACTAGAAGGAAGCGTCCATGGGTACAAGGATCTGAAATCCCCGTCACAGGGGCACCCAAAAGGCTGGTCCTGTAAAGCTCAGGCAGGGTCTGGACTCCCCTACATGTCCCACTGTAACAGCGCCTGTGTGCTCTGTGACCACTGGGCCTGCCTTTGCCCAAGACCTTCACAGCCAGTTTCCCTCGTTAATCAGGAACTGATCAGAAGTCTGGACAAGCGGCACTAGAATCTAGGTACAGCTTTCAGTCCTGCCCTTAGGAGTGACCTGGCCACCTGTCACCCTCTCCAGCACAACCCTGACACATAACCCTTCAAATCCATCTCCCACAGACATGACCAGGCACACTGGGAGACTTTCGCTGTCTTTAAAAAAATGCCCAAATGAACAAAAAACCCAAGGAGGAGGGCAATGGAGAAAATGAGACTTAAAGGATACATATAATTAAGCAATAAGTAAAGCAGAAACAAAATTAAGCTGAGATAAATAAGGGCTACAAAACTCATGTTCTGGAGAAAGGCATTTAGGTAACTTCAAGACCCCCTATTATAATTATTTAATGAACTATAAATTTATACCAAACATAGGTCAAAACATCAGACCAGGGCCAGCCTGTGGCTCACTTGGGAGAATATGGTGCTGATAACACCAAGGCCCATGGGTTCGGATCCCTATATAGGGATGGCCGGTTAGCTCACTCTGGAGAGCGTGGTGCTGATAACACCAAGTCAAGGGTTAAGATCCCCTTACCAGTCATCTAAAAAAAAAAAAGACCAATTTTTCTTTTGAACAAGAGAACTTTCAGAATTTGAACCAAAACATGACCCTACACCAAGATGCTGACTCCGAGAGCATGACACAGAAAGTGAATGAGACTTCAACCTCAGCCATGCTCACTTCCAAGCTCCATGAAGGGAGAGCCACACCTCAGAGGACTCGTGTGTGGACGCAGTGTAGCAGGCAGGGGTACAGCTGGCTCACAGCCACTGCCCCCCACCTCCTGGGTCTCACTCCTGTGGCTTCTTCCTCCCTGCTTGAAGCAGTCCTCAAGAAGTGTGATATGACAGCTCCCGCAATGGGGTCACTTTTTTAATGCTCAGGGAAATGTTCCCACTTAAGTCCAAAGGACATAAAAGCTATTGGTGCCCAATAAACACAAGCAAGGTTTCAGAACGTGTGGAGCCTGCGCCTGACCTTGTGCAGCTGGGGAGATCGGTCCTGAGGAGGCCCCCTGGACCTCCCCAACACAGAGCATGGGTCCCCCCAGAGCCCACAGGCTGACAGAACGCCTCAGTACCTTCCTCAGGCCAAGTTTGGCAGCAATTTCATCGACCACTTCAGCTTTCGGATCTTCCAGAAGCTCCAAGCTGTTCTGTGTGCCAATCTGTCAAGAGGTGAAGGGAGAGACAGACTTAGAGGAGAGGGCCAGGGAGCAGGAGCTCCACTCCTAGTCTCCTCCTTGCCAGGAAAGAGAACCATGGCCACAGTGAGGCACACCCCCACCCCCAGCTACTCCCGTGCTGGGTTGCAACACACTTTCAATCACAGCTCAGCAAGACCAGAGTGCAACTTTCAGGCTGGTGTGTGCCAGAAGGTTCCACACTGAGTGTGTGGTTGTTCGGGACTAAGGACAGCTTTCTACATATTTGTTTGCTTGTTTACTCTAAAAAGGCTCCTTCACTGGGAAATGCAGTTATTTTCAAAACTTGCTCGGATAAATAGCTTCACTCCAAACAGGTCTGGCTAGGTTAGGTAAGATTGAAGCTATTCCCAGCAAACAGCCTTGGAAACCTCATGTGCCACCCCTGCAGGGACACTGCTTGGCTTCGAAGCTGAGATACTAAACTAGAGACAGCGCAGACTCCATAGAGAAAGCTGCAGACATGCACCCCCGAGCAAGGGAGAAGACATCTAGGATCAGTGACCTGCTGGTGAGAGCCAGAGCACTGGCTCAGGGCGCAAGTGAGCCCTGGCTATGGCCAGCTCACACGCGACCTCTACCCACCACCAGACACACAACTTCCCGGAGTGGGCAAGTCTTGCCAAAATCTTTAATCTTCACTAAGTGCAGCTCGTGAGTCATTAGTAGTATCATTTTGAGCAGAAACCCCAGCCATAGGAATAGGAAAGGGAAGCTAATCCAAATTGAGTTATATTAATTGGGTATATCCTCGAAAATTAGTTAAATTCTGACAAAATAACAAAGAACTTTATGTTTACTGGGTATTACCCATATGGAGATCATTAATACCTCCAGGGTATAGGTCAAATCACAAACTCAGAACAAATCTAAGAAAAAGTACTTGTTTAATGACATGTGGCAGCATGAGCTTCAACTTCTAATGAGCTGGAGGCTATTAAAGGTCAAGTGTTTCAACCTCTAGGGTACCCCAGTTGGGAGCTCTGATGGTGTCGTTATCCGTCCAAGCGCCAGTGTGTCTGTTCCAACATTTTTTTCAATTATACTTCTAATACAACTGTTAAACTTTCCATGAAAGAGACCCTGTACAAAACTGAATTTGAATATTCTGTGCTTTCAAAAGCAGCATCCTGATTACAGAGCACACCCAGTGACCTAGGGTCAGATAACAGACATTCCTCTGATAGGGCTTCTGCTGCCATCTTGCATCTCTTCAGCAATGAACCATCAAAAAAGGCCTCAGGAAACACTACATCCTCAGCTCTACATAAATACCAAAAATGTCAAAGGTGGGTCGACTACACTTAAAATCTGTACATATAGCCAGGGAAGACATGCATTTGTGCACAGACCACAAATAAACCTGCACACCAACCGGCACCCATGTACAGCCTGCAATTTCAGATACTGCTCAGCAGAATCTGAAATACATGCCCCAGCGATGGCTGTGGATACCCCACGCCCCCCAAGTCGGGTTATCTAAGAAGCAGACCAGCTATGGAGCGATCTCTAGAATACAGTGGCAGGTGAAGAAAGTGTGTATGATGTGGTATACACACAAAAAACAAAGGGGGATAGTAATGAATCTGTGTGTATTTGCTTACATTAAAGAAAATTAGGGCTGGCTGGGTTCTCAAGTGGTTAGAGCACAGCATTATAACATCAAGGTCACAGGTTCAGATCCTCATACAGGCCAGCCACTGCACACACACACACACCCCCAACCCCAGCAAAAAAAAAAGAAAATCAAACCTCAGAGGTCAAATCAAAAAGTTTTTAAAAGTGGGGCTACAAGGAAGGCAGGACACAGGGTAAAGAGGAATATAGTTTCTGTATAAATCTAAATTTGGAACTGTGCAAATTTTTTTTCTTCTCCAACATTTTTTATAAAAAATTTCAAATATATAGCAAAGTTTAAAGAATTTTACAGTGAACACCCATATACCCACCACCTGGATTAAGTCATAAAAATTGACTTATGTTCTACCCGTCCCTCTCAACCATCAATCCATCTTATCTTTCTGCTGGATTTCGAAGTAAACTGTAGACAGCATGCACATCATTAACTACAATTCAACATGTTTAGACATTTTTGCTTTCACAGTAAAATGTATATAACAAAATGTACCATATAAATATTTACACAATTACAACACAAATTAAAAAACATATATAGTACTGGCCAGACACACACACACACACACACACACACACACACACACACACACACACACACACACACACACACACACACACACACACACACACACACAAATATACATGTATTTTTATACATATATATACTGCAGTAGATTGAATTATGTTCCCCTAAAACTCACTGAGGCTTGAATTGTCTCCCAAGTTCTATGTGTTAGAAACTTAGCCCCCACTGTGACTGTTAAGAGGGTGGGAAATCCTATTATGGTAATTGAAAGGTGGAGCCTTAAAGAGATTGGATTGTAGGACGCTGCAGTAGTAAATGGATTAAAAATGGTGGTCAGGGGCGTGGTTCTGAGCATGGTTTAAAAGAGGAGAGTCTGTCTTTCTCTCTCTCTCTCTGCTTCCACCATCTTGCAATGTAAGACCCCTGGGTCACTGTTGCCACCACCAGATGGACTTTGGACTTCCCAGACCCAGAAACTGTATGCAAATAAATTTCATTTTCTTTATAAATTACCCAATTCCACATATTTTGTTATAGCAACATAAACGGACTAATACGTATACACACCAATTCCTAAAAATTGAAGATAAAATGTGTGATGGGTTGGCAGCATAATCATACAGGAAGGCCTTCCAATGACTTTAATGAACCGTGACTGGCTATACAGCCCTAGCAGAACATTCTCTAAAGATCCTTCTCCTCCTCTCCATCCCTACCAAAAAAATTTTAAAACCATTTTTAGTCCTATTTTGGTAGTTTTCATCATTCTGGTGATGTTCTGGTTATTCTGAGCCTGGGGAGTGTGGCATGGGGTGAAGAACACGAGTAATTCTGTGATGCTCTGATTCTGCCACTCCTAAGACAGTGGACTTCTGCCTGGGGGGAAGGGATGCAGAAGAACAAGAGAAGAGCTAGCACAACTGTTGGACACCATCAGAGCAACTGGAAACCCGGGACACAGATGGCACAGCGTATAAAAACAATGCATCACTACTTGTTCTGTTTACTTAAGTTGATAAATGGGCTAGTTATGTAAGAGAACATCCTTATCCTCAGGAAATACACACTGAAGTATTTAGGAGCCATGATCTAACTCTCCAGTAATTCAGAAAATAAATATTGTGCACATGTGCCTATGTTTGTGTTTGTGTGTGTGTGTATGTGTGTGCACACACAAGTGTATGTACAGAAAGGGACAGAGAGCACACAAATGACAAAGCAAACAGGGCAAGATGAAATCTGGAAAGGGCATCCATCCCATTACAGCCTTCAAAACAAAGGACCAGACTGCACAGACTGTAAGCTCTGCATGTGGCTCACCTGAGGAGGCTCATAAATGGCAGCCACTTCGGCCCTGATGCCAAGGGGAATGTCCTTGTGCTCCGTGTACCGTCCATACAAGTACCCAAAATGCTGGTTCCCTGTCTTTCTCCAGAAGTCAAGGAAGCGATCGGCGACGGTGTGATTCTCAAACATGATATTGTCCACGTGTCTGTATTTCTGTAGAGTTAAGTTAACAACAGTGGGCTAAGTGAAAACATTCCATCAAAAATAAGGAATGTTCTAGTACAAACCATTCATATTTTTTTACCTAGTTCTTTAAAAAACAAGCCAAAAAACGCAAAAATCAAGCTTTAAGAACATGCCCTGCCTTCAGACTGCTTCCAAGTCCAGTGTGCAAGGAGGGTTGGAGACAGCTTTCATCAATCAATACGTTTAAATTAATCTCACTGTGACTTAACCTAAAATGCAAGTTTTTACAATCTCTAGGGCAAAAAATGGTAGTTTTCAAGAAGGAACAAAAGAACAGAAGGAGGAAGGGTTGGTTTCCAAACAGCCTGGGGGGCCACAGCACTTTCTCTGTGGAACTGGACATGGGTGGGCAGGCGTAAGGGGGGGCTGTGGCACAGCAGCAAGAGCAGGAAAGGTCACAACATCTCCTGGTTTCCAAACAGCCTGGGGGGCCACAGCACTTTCTCTGTGGAACTGGACATGGGTGGGCAGGAGTAAGGGGGGGCTGTGGCACAGCAGCAAGAGCAGGAAAGGTCACAACATCTCCTTCTGAGCTGAGTTCTCCTTGTAACCTGGCTTGGGTAGGTGCCCTGAGCTGGGCCCAGGAAGGCTCCGTTACCAACCTCCAGAGCCACAGTTTCTTAAAGTCAAAGCCACAAACACCAAGCACTTTAAACACCAAGAATATTCCGCTTCCATAGGAGCCAAAAGAGCAGAACACCAAAGGCTCCCACTCAACGCATGCAAGAGCTGGGAATCTCACAAATTACGTCTTCAATGTATCATTCTCACAAAAGGGTTAATCAATCAATCAAAAAATACCAGAAAGGCTGGGAGGCTTGGCCTCCCCTGGGGCTGCCACCACGGCTGGTTACTCTGTGCTTTCACCTCAAAGCTCTGCCAAGCAGAGCTCCCACGCGGGAGAAGAAGCTGTCAGTGAGCGCCTCAAATTTGCCGTGCTGGCCAGTGGAAGAGTTTGTGGTGGCAGAAGAGTGTGCTCCACGTTCTAATTTCCAGGCTAAAGCCACTCTCGAGGGTGGCTCCACCAGGCATGTGGAGAAAATCACATGCAGCACTGGTCGAACAACACTCATTCGGGACAGGTGAAGGGCTGCTGTGGGTGTGGCCTTGTCGTCACTCACCAGCGACGACTAGACAGAAAAGTTCTGGAAAAGGTCCAGAAGCACACGGAGTCGACACGGCTACATTCCACCCTTTTATCCCAGATCTTTGAGACCCTGTCTTAGATGGAGAAAGTGGAGTGCCTGACGTGCACCCTCGGTCCTCTGGAGCCTCATGGCAGTACCCCTTTCCTTTATGTTCCTCTTCCGAACCATTAACGAGTAGAATAAAAAGAGTGAAACAGTTCCCTTCCCTACTGTCATGAGGTTTGGGGCAGGAAGTCACGGGTGCAGAAGGAAGGCGGAGGCAGCTTTAGGCCCCTGCCTAGCAAGTATCTAGCTTCCCCCTCTTCTACTACTTAACTTAAAACTTGAGATACAATTTCAGCTAAAAAGTTTATTTCTCAGTCAAAACTTGTTTCCCCTCAACCCTGTCCCTAAAGAAGAAATAAAATCACAGGTACATAACCAAAAACAAAAACAAAACAGAGAATCTGCTATGAGTAATACACTGCTAGCTCCTTTCCAAGGAAAAGCTCTTCTGGAAATTTCCATCTCTCAGCCATGAAAACAAATGTAGACGACACAAGGACCGTCTCACCTGTCTGTTCAGCGTGATGGCACTTGGCTGGCACTTAGTACAGATTCCATTTGGCCAGGGAAGGTGACCCTCGCACCCTGATTTAATCTTGCAACTGATGTTCTCCAGGGCAACAAACTTCCCCCTGAATAAGAAGAGAAGCAACTTAATTAAACATTACAAAGGTGAAAAGTTTAGCGGGAGACTGGGAATAACTATGTTAAATATCTTACACCTCCTGAATAGTGTTCCAACAGGCCAAGCATGAGGTAGGCAGCAGCAGGGAAAATGTACTAAAAGTTATTCTAATGGAAGTTCTATCTAAAGTTCTAGCACATTCAAAAAGCTAGCTTCTGTCCCCTATATTTACACTGTATAGGAACACACAAATATTTTCCTATATAAATACAGTTTCTACTTTTACCATGAAGGTTTTCAAAAATACTGTAGAATACCTACTGATCAAACCTGTGCCACTTAGAGGAAATGAGGTTCTTGTAAGTTTCATTAATTTATCAGTAACTTTAAGGCTGGCCAGTTAGCTCAGCTGGTTAGAGTACCTCCTTGTAACACCAAGGTCAAGGGTTCAGATCCCTGTATCAGCCAGCCATCCAAACCCCCTCCAAAAAAAAAGGATATCAGCAACTTTGACATTAGCCCAGTATTAACACATTTGTAAAGATTCTTATTCATAGGAAAAACCTGATTAGGATACATAATAAAGATTTCCCCACTCTTTTAGCTAAAATAAAAACTATTGTTAGAAGACAAACAAGAAGCTGCTGGACTTGGGGTGAATCTATATCAGTGACTTGTTTTCTCATTCATGAAATAGTCCAATAATTACATTTTCTTTTCTTCTTTTTTCCAGCTTTACTGCAGTATAAGTGACAAAAAACTGTACACATTTAAGGTGCACAACATGACATTTCCACGTGCATGCGTGCTGTGGAATGGCTGAACTGAGCTGATTAGCACATGCATACTGCAGTATAAGTGACAAAAAACTGTACACATTTAAGGTGCACAACATGACATTTCCACGTACATGCGTGCTGTGGAATGGCTGAACTGAGCTGATTAGCACATGCACCACCTTACACACTCGCCATGTGGGGTGAGCCATTTCATTTTCACAAGCCAGTGGTGCACTGGTAACACAGCAGCTAGGTCACGACAACTCTGTCGCCAAGTCTGCATGTTTTTTGGGGGGTTTTTTTGTCCTTTTTGAGACCGGCCGCACCGCGCTCAGCCAGTGAGCGCTGTGAGCGCACCGGTCATCCCCATATAGGATCCGAACCCGCGGCGGGAGCGCTGCTGCGCTCCCAGCGCTGCACTCTCCTGAGTGCGCCACGGGCTTGGCCCTGCATGTTAATGACATCTACAAACGTGCCCCCATGGGACACTATGTTCTCTCACCTAGACAAAGGCTGACCGAGTTCCTTCCACCACAGTAAATCTCCACTCACGGCTGAGTCTAGAGAGTCCCGCAGCTTCCCCATTCACAAGCAAGAGAGAGTTTATGGTGGGTTTTTTCTCCTGGTCTAACATTTTTAAAAAGTTGTTTTAGGATGTCAATGGGCCGTCAGAGGAAAGCTACCATCAGGTGAACGTGACATTCTTCACAAACGCTGCTGACATGGCTCAGCCACCACCGCCTCTTGTGGCATGGGCAGGAGTTACAGAACAATGGCTCAAGCCTGTTACCTTCCGGTCAGGTACACATGAAACAGACAGGGGCCGCATACAGACCAGCAGGCAATGTATTTTAAAAGAAACCAAGGGCCGAGCCTGTGGCGCACTCGGGAGAGTGCAGTGCTGGGAGCGTAGAGACGCTCCCGCCGCGGGTTCGGATCCTATATAGGACTGGCCGGTGCGTGTGCTCACTGGCTGAGCGCGGTGTGGGTGACACCACACCAGGGGTTGCGTTCCCCTTACCGGTCACGAAAAAGACAAAAAAAAAAAAAGAAAGAAACAAAAATGCTCTCGGTTCACCCCTTTCTGGCCACTGTACCACCTGCACACAGGAGCCAAGAGAAGGCTGCCTGCACTAGCTGAAGGTGTAGACCACAACTGCGGTGGCACCATTAGCCCAACCTACAACAGCACCGCTGCTTCAGCCTGGCACAGCTGCGAAAACTAAGCTGATAAAGAGGCAGGGCTCAAGGGAAAGTGCGAGAGAGGAGGTTATTACGGTGTGGCCGTTCTTTCTAAAAAGCAGGGGACGAGCTCAGATGTTGATTCCCCCAGGCGCTACGAGCGAGGGGAAGGTCAGTGCCAGCATGCATCGCCAGCCCCAGGCTCTGAGCTCTGCGATGTGCAGCAGGGTGTCTGTCACAGTCTCTACTCATCTATTTCTTTTCTAGAATCAGGACAAAATTCGTGTATTCCAACGCTTTGTGTCCCACTCTTGTCTGCGCTTTTTGCATTCACATGCCCAGTGGCTATAAGCAACAACTGCCAGATCCAGCAACAAGAATTCATGCACACCAGGATACGGCAAGGTACTTACTTGTCGGCCCCTCCGGTCAGCTTTCGGATGTAGGCATGGAAGGACATATGCTTCACGGGAGGCTCAAGATGGTTCAGGTAGTCTTCATCGAATGGCTGCCAAAACACACAGAGTAAGTGAGTATGGTCACGCACCTGCCAGGGCACAGGGAGAATGGCATGCAGCATGGCCTCGACAAGCCAGGGCCACAGAGAGCATGCAGGAAAATGGGTGCTGAGTTCTCACTTATTGTTCTAGGTCAGAGCCAAATTCTTCTCTGTATACCAGTTACCTTTTAAAGATTAAAATGAATCTCTATTAAATACAAAAAACTCAAAGTCAAATACGTTTCAGGAAAATTCTGCAAAACAAAAAGCCACAAGAGGATCTTCTGAAGAAAATCGGGTTGGCCTTGCTGCTGTAAATTTAGTGTTAACCAGTTACCAGTCAGCATTATTATGGTAACTCTCAATCTCATCGGGACACATCAGTAGAGGAGATGTGAGATTCAAGGCAAAGTAAATCAAAACAGTGATGAGCAGGAAACTGACAGGCCCAGCTCTGTGTCCGATCTTAAAAGAAGTATCCAGGGAGCCCACTGTAAGTGCTCCTCTTTGTCACAGCAATACAAATGCTTGAGCCATTCATAATCCACCAAGAAGGTCACTCCCATAAATAAAGGCTCATCCTCTCTGTGCAGCTTGCACTAGTGGGAATAAAAGGCCCAGGGCAATAAATAGATAAGTTCTTTTAAACCACCACAACCAAATGCAGGGACTTAGAGAAAGTACTCAGACAGCTCTGTCTATCAGCAGCCCATCTTGCCGGCCTGGGCGCTCACTCTGCAAAGATTCTCACCTCTAGAGGGACGCAGTGCACACATTTCCCCAGCGGGCCGTGGCGGCATCTGAGGAGAGCAAAGGGCAGAAGAAAGGCACAGCTGTAAGTATGTTTACTTTTCTGTTGCTGCCCCCCAATATTTCTTTTTTTTTTTTTTGTCTTTTTCCGTGTCTGGCAGCGGATCGCCACCCTCAGTGTCGCCCCCGTACCGGACCGGGACCGGCAACAGGATGGCAACCCTCGGTGTTGCTCCCGCGCCTCGCTCAGCCAGTGAGCGGCCGGTCTGTATGTGGGATCCGAACCCTCGGCGGGAGTGCCGCCGCACTTCCCAAGCGGTGCACTATCGCAGTGCGCCACCGGGCCGGCCCCTGCCCCCCAATATTTCTGACATTTAAAATGTACATTGTGCATTAGCAAAGTGCTTCCCTATCCATGTGCAATTATATTCCACTGGCATGTGGATGAACATTTTACTTTAATAGTTTAGTATTTATTTTGCTATGTATAGAAAAAAACTGACCAGCACTCAAACCTGTGATTTCATGGACATTAACTGCTTAAAATGACACTAACTACAAATAAAAGCGAATGTACTTGAAGTCAATTTAAATGAAAATGTTAATAGTAACAAAGCTGGTACATGAACACGGCAAAAACCCTGAGAGTGGAGCATAAATAACCCAACTTTTGAAAACACCCATTCATGCACCTTTTGGGAAAAAGTATAATAAAGGATGCTTGGCCATGTGAGTTTCGGACAGTTGCAGCCACGGAAGCTCAACCCGTACAATATAAAGGAGAGGTGTGCTTAGCTGATGAGGGCAGTGGGGGGTGGACAGCCAAGATACAGTCCCTCCGGGGCTCAATGAGATCCCTCTCGATGAGGTCAGAATGCTTAGATGCATGTGAGTTCTACCCTTCCGAGCAGAGACGCCCTCCTATGTCTCCTAATAGGCAGGCTCTCATCAATGATAGGTCAGAACTCACACACACACACACACACACACTCTCTCTCTCACTCTCGCTCTCTCTCTCTCTCTCTCTCTAAAAGACTCTAATGAAGCCGTGAAGCCTCAGTCTGTGCAAGGGAGCAAGCACTCGGTCCCTGGGCGGAAATGCAAACAGACGAGACTCGCGGGCTAATCGCTCTGGCTATGAGGTGGCTCCATGCCAACTGCAGCTGAGCACCATTTGTGGCTCTTTAATCTAAGACATAAAAGTTGCTAATGCAGCATTTGGAATCCCAATATCTCAATGTCAGCATCCCGTCACATTTACAGAGTGATGCAGTTAAAAAAAAGACTCCACCGCAGAGACAAACAACCTTTGCTCAGATAATTTCACATTACTGAGTGTAAATTCAGATGTTTCTAATCAGTTTCTTTAAAAAGAATTGCAAAAAATCTAAAATAAACAAAAAAATCTAAATAAACAAAATAAAATACACATGCGTGAGCATTCTGTATCAGCGTCGGTGGAAAGTGAGTATTCAAAGGGCAGCATCTTCTGGAAATGACGCTCACTACGGGGATGGCAGAACACACTAGTATAAATTGTCAAAGTCATCCTACCACTATTAAAGGAGAAAATCTTAACAAGCACCTTGCACTCGCAGACACCCCTCCCTTCTGTTGCCTGTCACTTGCTAAAGCCCCACTCTGCCACCAGAAGAATCCAGTATTTCCAGGGACATCATGGTAAAGACTTGGTTTAAGGTCCCCCAGCTCCCCCGGATACCTTTCAAATCTCTTAGTATCCAAACACTTCAAAGCCTTTGATGTGAAACATATTCTGAGATTCAAACTGATAGAAAGCTAACAACATAACCTGAAGTAAAATTTAATCTGAAAATAGATGGTCAAACTTGAACTTAGATTTCTTCATCAGATACTTATTAAAATGGCACATTATAAATATTTCCCTATACTGACCCATTAAGACCATCACATGTAGGACCCTGGACTCCCATGGAGCACTTACAGCTGTGGGTCTCGGCTTCTGTAAATCTTCCCATCCTGTTTGCTAAGGTACTGATCGATCTCATCTTCCACCACATTGGGAGCTCCAAAGGCCTTTAACCCCAATGTGGTTGACGTCTCCATTTCAGATGAGGGTCCAGCAAGGCTCGAGGGAAACAGGAACAACAAATCGCCATGCCTGTTCAAATGACAAACATTAAGTCAATGCCTTTCTTAACTCCACGACCTGAGCTGCAACAGAATACCAACTTGAATATGTGAATTCTGACATCTGCAAAAAGCAGATGGCAACCACCTTGAAAGTCTGAATAACAAAGTTTTCAATTTTAAGAGAACAGAATTCACTTCTAACATCTGTCCTATATTTCTTGGCATTATAAGGATCAGCAAAAGGTTCTCTGTAATTTAATTTATCTTACAATTTTATTGTAAAATTTCTGATATACGTCGACACGCCTGTTTGATTTTACATAGATGAGTACACGATCACAACATATCTTTGGGTCTTTAGGACAATCGCCCCCTCTCATTCTCTGCTTGGCTCCCACTTTCCTTCTTTCATTCCTTTGCTCTCTATTTGGCTCCTCCCCTCCCCACATTTTATCTACATAGTACATATCTTTCCATTTCTTTCTCTATGTGCACATACGCACAGGTATGCACAGACATGTGTAGGGGTTGGCATTGCCTTACAAAAATGGGATTGCCAGAGACATAATTTTACACCTTGCTTGTCTCATCCAACGACCCCTAACAAAATTCTCCAAATACCACTGGTCCATGTCTAATTACCACATTTAATGGCTGCATAACGCTCCCCAGAGGGGCTGCCTCATCACTCACTTGCACTCCCACACCAAGGAATGTGCACACAGCCTGCCAGTTTCTGCCACCACCACCAGCACCCACCAACACCCACAGTCAGATAATGGCTGCATAACGCTCCCCAGAGGGGCTGCCTCATCACTCACTTGCACTCCCACACCAAGGGATGTGCACACAGCCTGCCAGTTTCTGCCACCACCACCAACACCCACCAACACCCACAGTCAGATGCCCATGCAGCTTTACTTCTATAGGGCAGATTTTCGGGAGTGGCCCTGTTAGACTGAAAAGTTTGCCTTCGCTTCTGAAACTGCTGACCTGCTGCTTTCCAAAAATGCTGCCACAAGTCACATTTCCAACAGCATTAGCCTCGTACCAAAACTGGAAAATGACACAACAAAAAAAGAAAACTACAGTCAATATCCCTAACACATACAAATACAAAATCCTCAACAAAATACTAGCAAACCAAATTCAACAACACAACGAAAAGATCACTCGCCATGGTCAAATGGGATTCATCCCAAGAATGCAAGGATGACTCAGCATACACAAATCAATAAACGTGATACATCACATCAACAGAATGAAAGGACAAAAACCATATGGTCATTTCAATAGACACAGAAAAAGCATTTGATAAAATTCAACACCCTTCATGATGGGGAAAAAAAAAACACTTCACAAATTAGGCACAGAAGGAATATACCTCAACACAATAAAGGCCATATACGACAAACCATCAGCTAACAGCATCCTGATCAGACAAAATTTGAAGGCTTTTCCTCTAAGATAGGAAAAAAACAAGGATGCCCACATTCTCCACTCTTATTAACATAGTACCAGAAGTTCTAGCCAGTGCAATAAGGCAAGAGAAAGCAATAAAAGGCATTCAAACCGGAAAAGAGAAAGTCAAATTATCCCTCTTTGCAGATGACATGATCCTATACACAGAAAACCCTAAAGACTCCACCAAAAATTTTCTAGAACTAATAAATACAGTATAGGGGCAGGATACAAAATCAACACATAAAAACCAATAGCATTCCTATACACCAATAATGAAATATCTGAAGAAGAAATCAAGAAAGTAATCCCATTCACAACAGCTACCAAAAAAATGAAATACCTAGGAGTAAATTTAATCAAGAAGTGAGAGACATCCATGATGAAAAGTATAAAACATTGGTGAAAGAAACTGAGGAAGAAACAAATAAATAGAAAGATATCCCCTATTCACAGACTGGAAGAATTAATACCATCAAAATGTTCATATTACCCAAAGCAGTCTACAGATTCAATGCAATCCCTATCAAAATACCAATTACATCCTTTGCAGAAATAGGAAAAAAAAGATCTTAAAATTTGTACAGAACCACAAAAGACCCCATACAGCCAAATCAATCTTAAACAAAAAGAACAAAGTTGGGGGCATCACAATACCTGACTTCAAAATATGTTATAAAGCAATAATAACCAAAACAGCATGGTACTGGCATATATAACAGACAAACTGACCAAGGGAACAGAATAGAGGGCCCAGAAATAAACCCACATATTTACAGCCAACTGATTTTCCACAAAGGTGCCAAAAACATACATTGGGGAAAGGACCTCTTTAATAAACAATCCTGGGAAATCCGTATATTCACATACAAAAGATTCAAGCTAGACCCCTCTCTCTCACCATATATAAAAATCAACTCAAAACGGTCTGGCTGGTAGCTCTGTTGGTTAGAGTGTGGTGCTGATAACACCAAGGTCTGGGTTTTGATCCCTATACCAGCCAGCAAAAACAAACAAAAAAATCCACTCAAAATGGATTAAAGACCTAAGGTTAAGACCCAAAACTACTAGAAGAAAACACAGGGGAAACGCTACATGAAATGGGAGTGGGCAGTGCTTTTTTGAACAAAACTACAAAGACACAGGAAAATAAAGCAAAAATAGACAAGTGGCACTACCTTAAACTAAAAAGCTTCTGCACAGCAAAGGATAAAATCAACAAAGTGAAGAGACAACCTACAAAATGGGAGAAAGTGTTTGCACACATCAGACAAGGGGATAATATCCAGAATATGTAAGGAATTCAAACAACTCAACAGCAAAAAAACAACCCAATTAAAAAATGGACAAAGGACCTAAATAGACATTTCAAAAGAAGACATACAAATGGCCAACAGACATATGAAAAAATGCTCAACATCACTACTCATCAGGGAAATGCAAATTAAAACCATGAGGAGATAGTCATCTCATTCCAGTTAGAATAGCTGTTATCAACATGACAGAAAACAACAAACGCTGGTGAGGATGTGGAGAAACGGGAGCCCTCCTACATTGCTGGTAAGAGTGTAAATTGGTACAGCCATTGTGGAAAACTGTATGGAGGTTCCTCAGAGAACTAAAAATAGATCTACCTTATGATCCAGCAATCTCTCTACTGGGTACATACCCAAAGGAAATGAAATCAATATATCATAGAAACACCTGTGTTCCCATGTTCACTGTAACACAATAGCCAAGAGACAAAATCAACCTAAACGCCCATCAATGCATGAATGGATTTTTAAAATGGATAAAAAAAAACTGCGGCATATATACACAATGGAATACCATTCAGCTATAAAGTAAAAAAGAAAAGAAAATTAAAGAAATACTGTTATTTGCAGCAACACAGATGGAATTAGAGACTATCATGTTAAGTAAGGAAGGCATAGAAAGACAAATACCACATGGACTCACTCATATGTGGAATCTAAAAAAAAAAAGTGGTTCTCATAGAAGTAGAGAGTAGACTCATGGTCACCGAGGCTGGAAGGGGAATGCAGGCGGGGGAAGGACATGGTGGATGAATGGGCACAAAGCTCTGCTGTCTGCCCTGAGTGAGTCAACATAGAGTACGTGCCTATATCAAAATGACATACTGTACCCCGCAGATATGTACAAATAAACATTAAAATGAAAGAATAAGAGCAGAAGTCAAAAGTACAAAACTGCAAGGACACACGGACATTAAGAGGCTTGGTTGTAGTTCTTCAATAGATCTGTCCTCTCCTCTCTTTTCTTCCATAACTTAGGGGTGATAAAATTGCCAAACTGTAATCAGAGACTTCTGTTTCTAGCAGTGGGTTAGATATTCCTAAACACCCTCCAGCTATAAAATACTTGGCTCAAACACTAAATCAATTTTAACAAACAGACTCTAAAATACACTGCTGAGCTCTAAAGAAAGCCATGGAAATACTCAGTGTTTAAAACCCAGCAGTACATTCAAACAAGAACAGCAAAAGGACACAGAGCTCACAGCTACCCTCTGGGCCAAGGCCACCACCAGGAAGGCAGAGCTATGGGCAATGGGAGCCAAGGCCTTGAGCCTCCTCAGCAGCTTTAGCTGCGGAGCCTGAAACTCCCACATGAAACCAGGCAACTGAAGGACCTCTGAACAGCTGGGAAAAATCCACCAGCTGAAAATAGGAACCATGGAGAAATCCCATCTGCCTCCATCTACTACACAGCAGGAAACAAAAGCCACCTCTGAGGCTCTGTAACCAAAAGCCTGATCTGCCACACATCTAGGGGTGGAACTAGGAACACTCCTTGGCTCAGGAAGCCCCAAAACAGAAATCCCCTTGAAGGATTTGTGGGTCAATAGCACCCCCTTGTGCCAACAGAAGCAAATGCAAGCCTTCTCTGCAGAAAAGCAACTAAATCTAGGTCCTTCGGGACTCCACAAGACCAAGTTTGGCCAATGTAACCTCTCAGAACAAAACAACAAAAACCAAATGTACCCAACAAGCCACCAAGAGCAAGAATGAGCAGAGACAACAATAAACAGACTGCAAGTACTCACATGTTAGAATTATGAGATACATAATATAAACATTTAGCTGGCCAGTTAGCTCAGGTGGTCAGAGAGTGGTGCTGCTAACACCAAGGTCCAGGGTTCTATCTCTATATCGGCCAGCTGCAAAAACAAAACAAAACAAACAAGGAAAAAACAAAAAACAAAACAAAAAAAACACTTTCATGTGTTTCAAGTGACTGACAGGCTACCCAAAATAACCAAGTGGAATTCTGGGAAGTGGGCTGGCATGGGGCACAGAACCAGGGGCTCTTCTCAAAACCCCTGACACAGATGGGCAGACAGCACGCCACACCCATGGACAACGGCGACAACAAAGCCAGGGTAGGAGCACAAGCTGGCGCAGACACACCCCCAGCAGCCACAAGGGGCCCACATGTCCAGTAGGCCTGAGCCAGGGGGCTCCCCACCACAGTGGCTTTCACTGGAGGGCTGGCAGCCGTGAGAGCAGAGCAGACATGGGAAGGAGCCTGGAGCACCATGGCCCT